GCTTTGGAGCAAATAACAGTGAAATGTCGGCCACATTATCTACCCCGAGAGTTCACAGTGACTTTTATCACAGTTGTTTACATTCCTCCGGACGCTAATGCTAATGAATCACTGCAGGAGCTTCATGATATCATCAGCTCGCTGCAGAACAAACACCCTGAGGCTCTTTACGTGGTAGCTGGAGACTTTAACCACGTGAATCTAAAGGACTGTCTCCCAAGCTTTAATCAGCATGTGACGATTCCGACACGTGGAGACCGCACGCTGGACCGTGTTTACACGAACGTAAAAGATGCATACAAAGCCGAACCCCGCCCCCACCTAGGACTGTCAGACCACATCTCAATCTTCCTGGCTCCTGCTTACATGCCCCCGCTGAGACGCTCCAGACCGGTTCAAAAGAAAGTTAAATGTTGGATCCAGGACAGTGGCCCCATACTGAGAGATTGTTTTGACCGAACAGACTGGCAGGTTTTCAGAGAAGCTGCTGAAAATGGAGGTTCGCTTGATCTTGACCAATACACATCCTCAGTACTGGGTTACATTAGTACATGTACTGACACAGTCTCCACTATCAGAAATGTTAAAAGCTACTCAAACAGAAAACCTTGGCTGAATGCAGAGGTGCGTACCCTGCTGGAAGCCAGGAACACTGCCTTCAGGTCTGGAAACTCAGAGGAGCTGAGTAGGACAAGAAAAGAGCTGGTTGCTGGTATTAAGAGGGCCAAGGCCACATATGCAAAGAGGATCGAGGGTCAATTCATCTCACAAGACCCTCGGAGCATGTGGAGGGGCATTAAGTGCATAACAGATTATAAAGGAAGGAGTGAACAATGTCCCAAAGACCCATCTCTGCCTGATGCCCTCAACAAGTTCTATGCACGCTTTGAAGACCCGAACAGACCACCCAGCACCAGACTCACCTCACCACCGGATGAAGAGCATCTCAGCGTGACCTCAGCAGAAGTAAGGGGTACCTTCAGGAGGATTAATCCGCACAAAGCAACTGGCCCAGACAACATCCCCGGAAAAGTGTTGAAGGAATGTGCTGATCAGCTCTGTGAGGTGCTGGCAGACATCTTTAACACCTCACTTACCCTGGAGACAGTTCCCACCTGCCTGAAGACTGCCACCATCATCCCAGTCCCAAAGAGCTCTACAGTGACTGGTCTGAATGACTATCGGCCAGTGGCCCTCACCCCGATAGTCGCTAAATGCTTTGAAAAACTGGTCATGACTCACATCAAAACAACCATCAACATCAACGAGGACCCTCATCAGTACGCATACCGTGAGAACCGATCAACAGAGGATGCAATCTCCTCTGTGGTCCACACTGCACTCAACCACCTGGAGCAGAAAAACTCTTACGTCCGTATGCTCTTTGTGGACTTCACATCCGCCTTCAACACCATGATCCCCCAAACCCTGATGGACAAACTATCCACACTAGGACTAAGCCCCTCCATCTGCAACTGGGTACTAGACTTTTTAACAAACAGACCACAGTTAGTGAGGATCCACAACCTCTCCTCCTCCACCATAACCCTCAGCACTGGCTCTCCTCAGGGATGTGTGTTGAGCCCCCTCCTGTTTACTCTGCTCACGTATGATTGTGCAGCTACCCATCCAGGCTGTCACATTGTAAAGTTTGCAGATGA